CGCATCCCCGGCATTCCTGGCTACGACTGGGTCAGGAGTGACATGGGAGAGTTTCAGAGTGTGTTTAGGTCGTTCTTGGAGATCAATGCGATGCGAAAATCGCATAGGATCTGTGACTTTTCCGTCTCCAAGTTCATCCGGCTCGAGCCTTGTTGGCCCGATGAGCGTGTCTATATGGGGGGTCCTTCTGACCCTCCTTTCTTTTATCTGTACCAATGTATTTTTAGGGATTTAGGTGTGTGTCTTCCCTTTTCACAATTTGAGTGTGATTTTTTGAATTTTATCAACTCGGCACCTTACCAGTTGCACCCCAACAGTTGGGGTTTTTTTGCGGGCTTTTCAAGTCCTGTGTTCGGCCTTGGGGATAGAGGTGTCTCTGCCCATTTTTCTCCATTTTTACCAGTTAAAAATGGGTGTTCCTCCTTATGGCTTGATGTCCCTGAGTGGGAGTAAGGCTGGGGGTCTACTTTCCCTTTACTCCCAGTCGTATAAAAATTTTAAACAAGAGTTCTTCCAGGTAGCGCTTGTGGATGTCAACCCGTTGGAGGATGGGGTGTTCTATTTTGGCGGGTTGCCGAAGCTCCCCTTCTATTGGCGGCCAACCCCGTTTAGATTTCACGGGGTGGAGAATTTGCAATTGTCGGCTTCAGAGTCCGTTGTTATTGCAAACCTTGAGGCGTTCCCTCGTCCCTTGGATTGCAAGCTCGTCCTATCGCTTGCTAATTCGGCGTACAAGGAGAGGGGTCTAGAGAGTGAGTATCTTGTCCTTTTCAAGTGTTAGGGTTTGTAAGGGTTTCTGTTACTGATGTATTTGATTTCTTGTGTTTGTAGGCATAATGGGCAGGAACAAGTGGCATGAGTTGAAGCACCGCTACAACATCGCCGAAATTGAAGTTCCAGAGCCTCAAGAGGAGGAGGTGGCCCCCCTGGAGACCCGCCGAAAAAGAAAGAAGGGAGAGAAAGAGGTCGGGGGAGACCTCTGCCCCTCGAAGTGCTGAAGAGGTGACCTCCAAAGCCACCGACGCCGACGCGGTTGATCTCACTGGGAGTCCTCCGCCCGAGGGAGCTCCCCAGGTGGCTGCCGAGGAGGTAGCCTAGGCCGCCGAGCAAGTTGCTCAGGTCACCGAGGTTAGTATCTTCATCTTTTGTGGTTTTTCTTCTATGTTGTTCTTTTGTTTTCTGACATAAGACCATTTTCTATTGGCAGGGAACGCTGCCGAGATCTCGGTGGCTCCAAGCTCAGAGGCGTCAGGGGCAGGCGCCCTTGTTGCTGAGCAAGGAACACTTGCTACCGCTTCTACTACTGCTGAGGCTCGCGACAAGGGGCCGAGTTTCGAGGTCCCGACAGCTACGCCTGCAGTCTCGGTGCCATCATCCGGTCCGTCGCAAGGGGCCTCCCAGAGCTGATATCTTGCCCATCGCTTTGGGAAGGATCGCTCTCAGGTGCAGTTGGACCATGTGAGTGCTTCGACCGACATGGATTCGCTGTGGAGTGCGGGGGTGACCGCTGAGAAGTTCTTCCCCAAGGGTTTGCTGAGCTCAGCTGATCAGGGAATGATTGAAGAGGTCGGGCCCGTGGAAGGCCTTGATGTTGCCGAGGTCTTTCTACAGAGGACCATGGCTATCGTGGACCACTGGAAGCATAAGTGGTCCAAGCAGCAGGAGGACCTGGCAAAACTGAAGGGCCGAGTTCAGCCCTTGAAGGAAGAGGCCAAGGCCTTGAGGGAAGAGAACAAAGCCTTGAAGGAAGAGAACCGGGCCTTGGCGGGCGCTCTTGGGGATGCTAAGATGCAGAACGAGGCCGAGCTGCAAGCTACCAGGAGGGAGGTGGAGAGGGTTCAGAAGTCCTTAGAGATTGCTCTGAGGTCCAATGAGACTCACGCTGCCCAAGCGAGTGAGCTGCGGGAGCTCGCCAATTCTTCCCGAGGTTGGGTGCGTGCCTTAGAAGACGAGGTCACTTCCCTGAAGGCTGACCTCGTGGTGGCGACTGAGAAGCGTCTTTGCGACGAGGTGCTTCTCGGCTGGAAAGAAGAGGAGGTCGCCGCACTCAGGGTGGACCTCGCGAAGATGGTCGCGGAGAAGGCGGAGCTGGAGAAGAAGTTCGAGGGAACTAAGCGAGCTGTCCTGTTCGAGCAGAAGAGGGGATTCCTCAAGGCAGCTCGCCAGGCGAGGTTGCTCGCGCCTGGGGTCGAGCTCTCGGCAATGCATGTAGAGAAAGAGGTGTGCTTTAAAAAGCTGGTGAAGGAGGACGACCTTCAAGATAGCTCGAGCGACAATGCCTCCGCCTAGGCCATCTTTGTAATAGTTTAGTTTATTTTTCTCTGCTTATTTTTGTTTGGATTCATGTTTTGAACCTAATAACTTGCTCTGTATATATCATTTTCTTTGAGCTTTTGAACTTGTGCTTTTGATGAGTTTATTTGGACCTTTGGTTTTGTGTTTATGCTTTAGGCTTAGTTTTCGCCTGTTTGCGTGGTGCGAAAACACGCTCGAAATTTACTTTGTATTTTAGCAAGGGGACATGCCTTGATCCACTTGGTGAAGTAGTCGATTGCCACCAGGAGGAATTTGAGTTGACCCTTTACTGGGGGGAATGGTCCTAGGATGTCCATTCCCCACTGGGCGAAAGGCCACGGCGACATCATCTGGTGGAGAGTTTCAGGTGGTTGTCGATGCCTATTGCCGAACTGTTGGCACTCCTTGCATCTTTGTACGTAGGCTTGGCAATCCGACTTCAAAGTGGGTCAGTAGTATCCAGCTCGGAGCACCCTGGTCGCCATTGAGTGTGCCTCGGAATGCATGCCACATATTCCCCGGTGGATCACCTCGACGACATAAGCCGCTTGAGGTGCAGTCAAGCATTTAAGTAGTGGGGTGGAGATGCCACGCTTGAATAGCTCGTCGCCAACAATTACGAACTTAGCCAACCTGATCCTCATCTTCTGAGCTTCATCTTTATCCTCGGGTAAAACTCGTGCCTTCAAGTAGTTCCACATGCTTATCATCCATCCCTGGTCTTCGCTGTTACTGGTGTTGACGACCTTGTCGTCTAGGCTGGGTGAATGCAAGGTTTCCTAGATGATGGTCTGATGTTGTCCAGGGCGTTTGGTGCTAGCGAGTTTTGATAGGAGGTCAGCCCTGGTGTTCTGTTCATGCGGTACATGATGTATAGTGAACTCGTCGAAGGACGAGATCTGTTGTGATGTCACATGGAAATATCATTGCAGAAGAGTATCTTTGGCCTGGTATGTCCCGCTGAGCTGCTCTACCATGAGTTTGGAGTCACTATTGCAAGTCACTCTCTATGCTCCGAAGTCATGGGCTAACCTTAGCCCTGCGAGAAGTGCTTCGTATTCCGCTTGGTTGGTCGTCACTTTGAAGCTAAACTTGAGGGATTGCTCCAAGGTGACTTGATTTGGACCTTCCAATATATGATACCTGCACCGCCAACTTTAGAGTTGAACGACCCATCAACATACAAAGTCCATACCTGTGGTTCTTCGACCGAGGTTGGCGTCAGCTCGGCCACGAAGTCAGCTAAGCATTGAGCTTTTAGAGCGTCGCG